AGAAGAATCGGACAGCCCTTGGTCGTCCCCGGTCGTTTTGGTCAGGAAAAAGAATGGAGAGCTCCGTTTCTGTGTGGACTACAGAAAGCTGAACGACGTCACCAAGAAGGATTGCTTTCCACTACACTGCATTGACGACATCCTGGACACGCTGGCCGGAGCCAAATGGTTTTCAACTCTTGATTTAAAGAGTGGCTATTGGCAAGTGGATGTGCACCCAGACGACAAAGAGAAAACTGCGTTTTCGACAGGGCAAGGGTTATGGCAGTTCACAGTCATGCCCTTTGTCCTCTGCAATGCCCCCGGCAAATTTCGAGAGGCTAATGGAGACAGTCCTACGAGTGCTCACGTACGATTCATGCCTAGTGTATTTGGACGACGTTATCGTAATAGGCCGCACATTCCAAGAGCACATGCTCAACCTATGGAAAGTGTTCGAGAGGTTCAGGGAAGGACGGTTGAAACTTAACCCGGAAAAGTGTAAACTCTTGAAGGAAGAGGTTAGGTAACTCGGGCATATTGTATCACCAGAAGGGGTATCCACCGACCCGAAGAAGTTGACAGCCGTGCGAGAGTGGCCGACCCCGAAGGATAAACACAAATTTAGAAGATTTCTGGGACTATGCGCATATTGCAAGCGATTTATTTCAGGGTTCTCCAACATTGCGAAACCACTAACGAAACTAACGGAACAGAAACGAACCTTCCAGTGGACTGCAGAAGGGAAGGCCGCGTTTCAGACACTAAAGGGTGCCCTATGTGCTGCCCCTATTCTTGCCTACCCACAGCCAGGCGAGAAATTCATTGTGGACACAGATGCAAGTAATGTCGTAATTGGAGGAGTTCTCTCACAAGTACAGGACGGACAAGAGCGTGTCATAGCTTATTTCAGCAAGACGCTGAACAAAGCAGAGAGAAATTACTGCGTAACCCGACGAGAACTACTTGCCATAGTGAGGACACTGGAACATTTCACAAGTACCTCTACGGACAACAGTTCCATATGCGAACGGACCACTCTGAGCTTACCTGGCTTATGAGTTCCAAGAACTTAGAGGAACAAACAGCGCGCTGAATACAGCGTCTTCAGGAATACAACTTTACTTCGGACCATCGTNAAGGCATAACAACGCCGACGCCCTTTCTAGACGACCCTGCAAAGAAGAATGTGCGCACTGCCACAAAGTCGAAACGTGGGCAGAGGTAAAGCAGATACGCGTTATAGGAACCCTACCGGCAGCCGGCTGGGACCCTGTTACCCTAAGAGAGGAACAGCTAAAAGACCCAGACATAGGGCCTATTCTACAGGAAGTAGAAAACGGCCAACGACCGGAATGGCAGGACATCGCGGATCGGAGTCCCACGTACAAGATCTACTGGGCCCAGTGGAAATCGCTCGCTGTTAGAAATGGCGTACTAGAGCGTGACTGGGAATCCGCCACCGGAAGATGTCAAGTAGCCCAGATAATTTTCCTCGGAGCAGGGTGAAGGACGTTCTGAGCGAACTGCACGGTGGACCGTCAGGAGGTCACTTCGGTGTCAACAAAACTCTGAATAAGATTCGACAGAGATTCTACTGGCTCCAAGCAAGAACCGAAGTTGAGAAATGGTGTCGACTGTGTGACACATCTGCAGCCAGTCGGGGACCGCGGACCAGGAATCGTGGGCAAATGCACCAGTATAATGTTGGGGCTCCATTCGAGAGAGTAGCCACTGATATCGCAGGTCCCTTCCCACGAAGGGAATCGATACTTATTGATCGCTATGGACTACTTCACCAATTGGCCGGAAGTGTACGCCATCCCGAATCAGGAGGCTTCTACAATATCGGAAGTTCTGGTTGCCAACTTCTTCTGCCGCTTCGGCATAACTCGAGAGTTGCACAGTGACCAAGGCCGTAACTTCGAGTCTCATCTACTGAAGGAGGTTTTGCAACGCCTGGGAGTGAGCAAGACGCGCATCAGAGCCCTGCACCCACAGTCGGATGGCATGCTACGTCGAGACCATTGTAACCGTCCAAACCTTTCAATACTCTTTAATGGACGCATGTTCCTTTTCAGCCATTTCAATAGAGTGACTGATTTATTAGGGAGACCCATCCATTAAGAAGTTGACATGTTTTTCGCATTTAGACAGGAACAACTTATTTTGATACCTGGACCTTGGGTGACCGTTAGAGGGTCGAGGCAATTATGAAAAGGATATGTTTGTTGTCTGCCCTAAACTAAGGCATAAGTGCTTTCACATGTAGGGTCCTGGGTTCAATATCTTTGGATTTCTTCATTCTAAAAGTTAGTAATGTGATTGTNCCCTCCCTACCCAGCAGCAACATGGCAACTCAGGCCACAGGCATGTGGCGGTAACGTAGCGCTCCCTCCCACCCCTCCGCGGTGACGTAACACGCAACACTACGTACCCGTAATCAACTTCCTACTGTGACGTGGCATGCAACAGGCACCACTGCGGCTATATAAGGGAACTGCACAGCAGCTACCAGTTAGTTGTACTGTGACAGTCGCCGAGTGTGTTATCAGCAGTTCTCGAGTTACAGACACGTGTGCGATAACTAAGAAGTCAGCGAGCGGAAGACTTATTGTGTGCTTTCGAGACTTAGTGAGTGCTGTAGTACAGTTATATCTGGAGTGTGTAATTCAGGGAGATTTGTATAGCTCCCGCATTATTAGTACGTGAAGATTTTGTTGCAGGGTTTGTAAAGTGTGGAAACCTGTAACATTGTGATAATTAATTGTAGCCGATATTTGTAGATTGTTCAATAAACCAATTAACGATCTCTACGGCGTATTCAGTAACGAAACACGTTACAATATGTTTAAACAGGATTGCAGTCTGAATGAAAATACACTATCCTACATATCATGTGATTTCTTTAATCAGTCCATACAAATAGATTCCCCCCCCAGGAAGTTGTAAGTCAGTATAGCTCCATCACATGAGGTTTAAAGAAATTTCATACACAAACATACCTATTTTACTGGGGTCAGACCTTGGACATGAGCAGAATGGCACTGATATGCTTTTAAATTTTCAGAAATACTAGTAAAATGTTAAAACGTAGCATTTGGTTAATTTTCATGGTCAGAACTTGAAAGCTGAATTGCAGATATGGGAAAAATGTAAATTTGAGTAAACATAATGTTGGTTAAAATTTAACATTGTTCTTTCATGCATTTGATCAGGGCCAGACAAAAGTGCGTAAAATCCGATAAACTTTAAAATACAGGAGTGCAAAACCAAACTTTCACTCTTGTGTTAATCATCCCACATATTTTCTTTTTTTATCTATCCTGTTTAAATAAGTGCCAGTACTTTAAGAGTATTGCAGAAAACACTGTCTTTGTGGTTTAGATCTGCTGGAGCGTACTCAGTCCCTGGAGGACACAGCCCGACGACTGACTGACTTCACAGAGAACTTGCGCGATCTTCAGCATTCACTTCAGCGTTGTGAAGACAAATTAGCTTCACATGATGCTTTGGGTGGAGCTTCTAAAGATCCAAAATTACTAGAGCGAATAAAGGTATGCAAGAAACATGGGCTGTACTGACTCAGCTGGGACAGTGGCATGCAGCTTTCAGCCAGTCATTTTGAATTTTATAGGGGATTTTGGTTGGTTGCTTATGCCAATGTTCATGTGAACTCTTGATTATTAACCTTGTGTGAGCATTTTGGTCCCTGAATATGGAGTAAAATCAAAATGTGTTTTCACCATCATGCACCATCTCATAACTTTAAGGGAAAGAACTATAAATTGAAGAAATAAAGAAAATAGAAAGACTTGAATTTTAATTCTTGGTTAGAAAACAGACTGTAACCCTACTCCATACAGAACTTAAGTGAGAGATGGAAATTTAATGGGTTGTAGTGAAGTCATGAATAGACAGAAGTTAAAGTGGGTAGGGCTAACAGCCATATCACCTGATCACTTCACTAGCCACAGTTAGAAAGTCAATTTAAACCATCAGTAATGATTTTTTTGCATGCTAATTATTCTTGCCATCCTTTTATATAGTGTTTAGCAGTCAGTGCTAATTACAGTAAGCCACATACAATGTAAGGGTTAAGTTCCTGGAGAATGGTATATTAGGTAAATCTGCTGTATGTAGTCTTAATACTTTATGGGTAAAATGGGTATATGTGAAAACAGCTGCATAAATCTCCCATTAGGACCTAGATATGTGGATTTTCTGCACACATACAAATGAGTTGTCATATGGTGTGTTGAAACCATCTTTAAGGATGCGTCACACATTTTGAGTGAGCTTGAATTGCAAGTCTGTAGACATGTTGAGTGTAATAAGATATTCTTTGGTCCATAGATTGCAGGACTGATGTGGTGTTAGGAGATGAAAACATTACCTTAACAATAGGAAAACTAAATTGCAGTGTTTCACGGTTGTGGTCAGAGACTGATTCTCTATCACATAATTGGTCATGTTTGATTTTTCAAATAGTGTAAGCAAATGCATGTTGGACAAGGGTTTACTGTACTACTATATTCCATCTACTTTTATGCTCTTGCAGTCTGACCTCAGAACATTAGAGCAGCATGTTTTGGCTCAGTGTTCATCTTCAGACTGATTCTCATACCTCCTGTCTGTGAAGTGCATAATGTACTGTCCTTATGTTACTGCATATTTTATTATCTTTGGGGTCCTTATTGTACATTGAACTTTGCTGGTATTTACACAGAAGCTGTAGCTTTTATCAATTGCATTAAAATACAGGCACTACGAGAAGAGACGGGAGGACTGAAGAAGCCGCTGCAGTCAGTTCGCCAGGCGGCTGGTGACCTGGTGAATGAGGCTGGTGAACATGGTGTGGATGCAACTCACCTGCAGGATGAAGTGGATAACCTCGCTGATCGGCTGGATGATTTGCAGGCTAAGTTGGATGACCGTTGCAGTGAACTACAATCTGCCGCAACAGCAGTCACTCAGTTCAATGTTAGTACTGACTGCTTGGTGTATGGTCATGACATGGCAGATTAATCTCTGGGAAATCCTGGTTCTGGAGTTTTCTGTGTTTTTCACCATTCCGTCCATATAGCAAATCAGGAAAGGTCTAACTAATTGCTCTCAGTTTTCCCAATTTGTGACAATATTCTTGGCAATATGTTCATATTTTAGGGTCTTTTGTTACCTTCAACTAGTACCAAGGTCAAGAAAACGTGGATGTATACATCCATTCCCCCATATGTCTTAATGACATAGTATTTAATTATTTAAGCACAGAAACAACTTTACCTTCTTACTTTTATGTCCCCAGGCCATTCTGGTCAACATATCTCTTGTTGTTGACTGAATATCACCTCGTTTCAGTCATTGTTTGGTTGCAGTAGGTCCTGAGGCATTCTGTTTGTTTTATGGCTGACTGTTATGTTACAGTCAATTTTCTTTCTTGCCACTTTGTTGAATAAGTCAACAAGGAAAAATCATTTTCCATATATAACTTAGGCCCATGACCTTCCTCATTTTCGTCACGTGTTTTACAATTTCATATGTTATGAACTGTCCTGTCATTGAACAGCAGTCTTTTGTATTGTGTATGAGAAGCAATTGTCAGAAACAGAAATATTTCTGATTAACTGATATGAGGTACCAGAGGGGGTGCATCTTCAAAAGATGTCCTAAGTATTGTTGGAAGTACTGAATGTTTTTTTCTTTTGCTAGTGATATCACCAGCAAATTGATGAATATTGCTGTTTTTCCCCACTTAGATACCCCTGGGATGCAGTTGAGGATGGAATCATCTGATCATCACATCCAGCATGTATCTTGTTGTGGACACCAATTTGTCTGGCCCTTTGATAAACCTTGGTTGAACACCCCTTGGCAGGGTGGAGCTGAAGGTTATCATGTAGTGTTCCCCTTGTCTTTTCTAATTCGTTCTTAAAGACAGTCTGTTTGGCTTTTGTTTAAAACTAGGCTGTGAACCAATACACTGGAATTATGTGCCTTATTCTGCAGGTTAAGTCAGTTTAAACAGAAGAACTAATTTATAAAAGAGTATAATGCCTTTTGTTCTTAGGACCAGGTGAAAGGATTGAGTCATGACCTCTCAGGCTTGGAGCATGAGCTTGATGCCATGAAACCTCCAGGTCGTGATCTTAAGACAGTTCGAGGACAGCTGGATGATACAGGAAAACTCCTGAAAAAGGTATGTTTGTTCAAACTCATTTCTAGTTTCATGATGGGGTAATCAGTTTGAACAATATATTGAGATTATCTTGTAATGGAAGAAATGAAACTTGAGAAGATTGTGCTAGGATCATAGAAATTGCAGTACCTAGAGTATATCAGAGCTGTACAGTAGAGGAGCTCTACTTAATGTACCCGACACATGCCGTGCTGCAACAATTCCTTAAAAGTTACTCAGCTGTTCAAGAAAGTCCCTTATTTTATCGAACTCAGAAGTTCATCACTATGTTCAGGAAAGTTCACTGTGGACATTTTGCTGAGCTGGCGATTTCAGTCTTCTTCCTACCTTGTAAGATTAGTTTAAAATTATCCAGCAGTATGTCATTAGGTCTCTGAAATGTTTTCATAGCCTAAGGTTTTCTTTAATGTGTTAAATAATACATCATTGATGACCATTGATGACATTTAATTCATGTTTGATCACCCAAGGTCATGTCCATGTAACTATTAGAAGTACTGGAATTATAGCAAGTACATGGCAGAATTATAGAATAATTAAATATGTGACCAGTACATATGCTATGTATAACTTGAATGTAGAGAATTCTTACTGACTGTATAGTAATAGGCATGAGATGTGGTACAAAATTTGACAGGGTGCTGAGGAGAATATCTGGACCGAAGAGAGATGAAGTGACAGGAGGTTGCAGAAAACTGCATAATGAGGAGCTTCATAATTTGTACTCTTCTCCAAATATAATTAGAATGATAAAGTCAAGGAGGATGAGATGGGCAGGGCATGTAGCACGAATGAAGAGAGGCAGAATGCATATAGGATACTGGTGGGGAAACAGAAGGAAAGAGACCACTAAGGAGACCAGATATAGGAGGGTCGATAATATTAAAACAGATCTCTAGAGATAGGATGAGGTGGTATGGACTGGATTGATCTGGCTCTGGATAGGAACCAATGGTTGGCTGTTGTGAATATGGAAATGAACCTTCAGGTTCCATCAATTTCTGGGAAGTTCTTGAGTAGCTATGCAGTTCATTGCTTCTCAAGAAAGGCTCAGCTCCGTAAAGTTGGTTGGTCAGTTGGTTACAAAATTTGAGCATGATGATTCCATTTTGTATTGAACCTCTGTTAGATGTGAATTATAGGCAAGTTGATAGAGTACCTCCAGACATAAAAAATATTCATGCTAGTTAATGGGAGCATTTAAAGTGGTGAAAGTTGGGTGAATGCTGAGGTGCAGTAAGAGATTGACTTACTTCCTGTTTCAGATTTCGAAAGCTGCGGATGAAGTTGCCAATACAGTGTCTGCAGGGGAGCATCTTGTAGACAGTGGATTTGCTCCTGATACAGTAGCAACCCGTGAACAAGTGGAGCTGCTACAGCGACAGCTTGGTCGTCTAGATGAACGTGCCAAGTCCCGAGAAGAAGATCTTGATTCAACATTGGGTCGCCTTGAATCATTTTATCAGATCCATGCTGCAGTTACTCAAGAAATAGCAGAGGTGAATTCAAATTATATGTGTTGTCAAAATTTACTTTTATTCTTTCATATCACTGAAGCTTTGTCAGTTACTTTGAACAGAACTGAAATGTGTTTAAGTTGTGTCAGTTACTGTGAACAGAATAGCAACTTAAATGATTTATTTTTATATTGTAGGACCTTGTTGCATTTCACTGAATATGCTATATTTAACGGTTGCTTTACTTGTGATTAATAAATAAGTACAGTAAGGTAAACAGTAACACTCATGTGTTGCATGTAAGTGATGGTTAAATATAGCTTATTATTCGTACGTGAACTAATTTCTGTGACTTGCTTTGAACAGGATTTCAATGTGATATGTAATAAATTTTGTCAATTTTAAAGTAATAGAAGTGCTATATGTATTAAATTCTGTCACTTACTTTGAAGAGGATTATGTGCAGATTAGGTTCTTTCATTATTTTGTAGTGGTTATGAATGTATGAATGATGTATCAGTTGTTTTGAATAGGATATTAATGTGATATGAATGAAATCATATCACTTTGTGTAGGGCAGCAGTGTGACATGAATTAAATTGTCACTCACATTGAACAGAGTGCAATGTGATACAAATTTATTAGCTTCGAACATGATAGGAATTATAACACATTAGTGATACATGATATGAACATAGCTCAGTTGGTCACTTTGAATAGCTTAGATGTGTCATGATCTTCAGGCCAGTGAACGTGTGCGCAAGCTGAAGCCTGTTGGTTCAGAGGTGGAAGGCATAAAGGCTCAGCAGGAGGAATTCAGAGCATTCCAAGTATCCAACATTGAACCATTAGCACGCCAGGTGGAGGACTGCAATCGGCTCGGACAGGGACTCATCCAGTCAGCTGCTGGAGGTGTTAACACTACTAGCCTCGAGAAGGACCTGGAGAAGATGAATGATAAGTGGAATGATCTGAAGGACAGGGTAAGCAGACACTAATGGGAAAATCATGATAAAATCTAGCCATATTCATCGCCCCCCAGTCTAATGAAAACATGTAGAATTGCTGTCTCTGGAACTGTGGTGTCCTTGTGCTAAGCTTTATCAGCGGGTTCAAATTGTTACCGCATGTACGCACTTGTTGGAATGTAACTGTTGTGTATGTTCAGGTTAAATTTACTTTGAACAAACATCATGGCTTATTATATTTGGTGCTTCCCACCCCAACTTCTTTGCTGTATCATTTTCCTGTTTATAGGAACAAAAATTAGACAAAAAGACACACAGATTTATGCTCCATACATGGGAAAGCTAGGCCATTTTTGGTAAGTTTCCTGAATATCATCTGAGAAAATAATTTCTGATTCTCCCTCAATTAAATGCCTCCCCCTCTGGCAATAGAACCCAGAAGTTCAGCATTGCTCTTAACCATTAACAGCCATTTGACACATTTGTGATTCAGTGCCAGCCATCTTCCATCCATACTACTTAGTTTCATAAGAACCATCTTGATTCTGGCCTCATTCTACAAAGTGACCGCTTTTCAAGGGTCTTCCCAATTTATGTACTTTGTAGTTCTTTTCATTTCTCCCCACCCCTCTCCAATGCATGCTGCATGTTCAGGCCATAATAAGCTCTTAGCTTTTCACAACCATATCAGTAGTAGGTGGCATGAATAAATCAGTTTTGCATTATGCACTGTGCTACCGTACTTCTTTTTAAGTTCCTCTCTCAAGTTGTTCCTTTTCATTTTAACCATAATTTTTTCATAATGTAGTCATTAAGTTATCAGTCATGTGTATTGTTTGTGTATGACAGTCATTTTATATTCTCACCTGTGTCCAGTTGAATGAACGAGACCGCAAGCTAGATGTAGGTCTTCTGCAGTCAGGAAAGTTCCAAGAAGCATTGGATGGTTTGTCGAAGTGGCTTGCTGACACTGAGGAGATGGTAGCCAACCAGAAGCCACCATCTGCTGACTACAAAGTGGTCAAGGCACAGCTGCAGGAGCAGAAGGTATGCATGTAATTGCCAGTTTCAAATAACTGATTTGGATAATAACAATAAACTCATTATATGGATTCAGTTCTAATTGGGTGTGAATAATGACACTCCAGTATTTAGAAGCTGGATTGAAGTAGTGTTGGCTTTTTTCCCTTTCATTTGAAACAAAAAGTAATTAATTTTGCATATAATTTTAAGTTTTTGTGGTGCTTAAATGTTCTGAAATCTTCTTGGATGCTCAGCCATATCATAGCTGAAGTAAGAAACAGTGTTTTAGAGACTTTTATCTGCCCCTGAAACATTGACTTTTAGCTCAAGCATGGCGCAGCTTATCAACTCTGAAGATTTTATTGCATTTAAATTTTTTAATCATTAGCCAGTTAGCTATTCTGAACACTTAGATTGCTTGATGCTGAAGTTTCCTATGTTGTACTTCACACTCTAAAGAATTATGTGTGCAAATATATGTTTGTAAATTGTCCGTAACCTAATTAAGTAATACCTCTATGCTTTCTCAGACTACAGAGTGCTTCATGTTTGTGTAACACATTCCAGTGAAAGATACTGTGTCTTAACAAAGAGTACTATCTTCCAGAATGTAACATAGTGTAGCATGCTTGCTGCTTTGTTGTTTGAAAGTATGCTGCTCCAAAACATTCAGTAAACTTCTGCAAAACTGCAGGACATCACATCCCATAAGATTTGTGTTGTGATGGTCACTATGAATGATAGCTCAGAGAGTAGTAGTTCTATACTTTCATGGAATGAATGAGAGAAAGAAAATCATAGTTAAAAGAGGTAAAAGAAGATGAAAGTGAAAAAGATGTAGGAGGAATGAGGCAGATAAGGAAATTATTCATGATAATGCTAATACACCACCAAAACAATAAAGAATACAGAAGTGAATAATTTGAAATGCAGTCACAGTGAATTCAAAACATGGAAAAACTTCATTAAATTGTAATAGAAATTTAGTACTATGAAAGAATCCATACAAAATACAGTAATTTAATCATGAAATTGAAAGGTTTGTTCTCTTTAATATGTAGTTCCTCAAGAAGATGCTGCTTGACCGCCAGAATTCAATGTCATCCCTCTTTGCCATGGGCAATGAAGTGGCGGCTGGTGCTGACCCTGTGGAACGCAAGGGTATTGAACGGCAATTGCGAGAACTCATGGGGCGCTTCGAAAACTTAACAACTGGAGCTGCTCAGCGTTATGAGGATCTCCAGCAGGCCATGGCTGTAGCAAAGGACTTCCAGGTGGGGAATTTGGCTAGAATGTTGGAGAGCTGAAATTTGATTAGTATCAGCCATCAATCCTCATACACATATAGTATTTAAAATACGAGTAGTAAAGCACCTGTTTAGTTTTCCCTCTGGGGTGCCAGTAATTTCAGTCCTGGAAGCCTTGATCACGGATGAAGCTATAGAATGAAATGTTGGTAAAAGATAACAGACTAGTAACTGCTGCTTCTCACATTTTTTCTGCTATATGTGTTAATAACTGAAGTCTCCTATCTCTTCTGTTTGATCTCTTCCATTTTGATTTCTTGCCAGCTCTTTTCTCCATTCTTGGTATCATGTTATGGGTCATCCAGTAGGCAAACTGGTAATGTACAGATTGTTTTCCTTTATGTGTAATTTTAAATGTTTGTTTTCATAATCCTTTAGCAATTTTTCTGTAAGTATAGAGGGCTTGGGAAATAGACTTCATAATGCATAAAAATTCTGAACTAAGCAGTGGACCATGTTCTGCATGAGATGGAAATTAATTTGGTTTCTAGCAGTTCAAAAGCTGCTGGTGATTGGTATTTTTCTTTGACTGTTGCGCCTTTCTTGTTTCTGTGTATGTAGTTTTTGATCATTAAAATTTGGGCTAGAGGTTACTTATTTCCGTTTAAATTAATGTAGTAAAAGGCATTAAATATGTTATAAAACATATTTGAAGTAATATAAATATATTTGTAATTACATGCTGTGTTTATTGGCATATTTAACCTTTAAGGGACGGGCCATTTAAATTCCGGTAGTGGCAGCGGGACGGAGTTAATTTAAATGCCCGCCACTGTAGAGTAATAAAAATTGTAATCATGTTACTCAAAATGCTGTGATTTCTACAATTTTTGTGATAAACGAACAAAATAAATGCTACTTTTATCTAGAAAGTATATAGAATCAGATACTCTAATTTACAGATTTTAGAATCTGTAAAAATTGTTACGTTGATTCCAAAAAAAAAAATTTCCCGATTTTGAGCGTCTGTCCACAAAAATGCATAAAGCTTCTGCACAATACGTTTCTGCAGTATAAATGCATGGTGCTGACGCACTGTATGTATCTTATCTGGCAATAAGAGAGGATGTTTACGGTCTGCACATTCTCCAGTCATGTAGGCTTCTGTATACCCGAGTGTGGGTGAGTTCTTATTCTACATTGCCTTATGAAACTCTGTTTGTTTATTCAGGTATGTCGGACTATCCACACAGAGGCAGTTCTTGGAGTATCACCTCATACCACTTGCTTCCCCTCCCTTCAGAATAAACTAACACATTCAGAATGGTGTGATTTACTAGTGGCCTCTGAATTTCGACTCCTATCAATGCGAAAAGGGGCCATGGTGCATAGTTGAAATTACGATGTTTTATAAGCGTTATGAATAGAGGACACCACTCGACATCACTGGCTTACTTCCTGCTAATATGAGACTAACATTGCGTCTGCGCGCTTCGCATGGAAAACAGAGTAAATTACGAACAAAGTGCATGAATTGCGATGTCGGACTCTGCATTCAGTGACATGCAACATTCAGTTAGATGATGCAGGAGGGAAGACAGTCTACTTATAAAGCTGGTGTCCAAAAATAATATAAGTAGAACAAGAATTTCTATCTTAAAATTAGATTTTAAAACACTGTGCGCACGTGTGGACTGCACATATCCATACGGTGTCTTTCGGCCACCTCAGCTTTACTTTAAAGGTCCCCATACGGTGTCCTTCAGCTCTTAAAGGTTAATATGGTTTTATAGGAAGAGCTATCTTTTAAGAAGATGGTATTTACTACTTCATATATGTGTTCATGATTTAAGTTAGGTATTAATGTAAAGCCATCTGGTATGCCATGTCTTGTATACATGGCACAGTAGTGCATTTATATAGTCCCTTACATATTTGTCTGATATGTTTACAGGACAAGCTGGTACCATTGATTGAATGGTTAGATCGCACTGAGAAGCAGGTGAAAGACATGGAGCTCGTTCCAACTGATGAAGAGAAGATACAACAGAGGATTAAGGAACACAGTGTAAGTGTTAATTGTAATTATAGAGCATGGGATGGACCAAATAACATGCTTGGGTAGGTAACAGTTTCATATTTAAAATATCATATTCTCAGTTCAGCGCAGGCTGATATCCATATTGTCATGGTTTTCTTCAGTTTCTCTAGGCAAGTTGTGGAATAACATTTATACCTTAAAGTAGACCATAACCACTCCATATCCTTACCAGTTCTCTATTACATTGCCCTTACATTTGATACCCTAACCTATGCAGTTGAGAAATTATCGCAGAAACTAACATCTACAGACCTAACAGACTCAAATATTGTGTTAAGTATAAGTTTGAACTGAAATTCTCACTTATTATCCATTGTACTGTACATGTTTCTTGAATTAAATTTGTTTAATATTGCTCCTGGCGATGAGCAGAAACATTTCTTCATTTTAGTCATATGGCTGTTCTCTTAGAAATGACACATGAAACTAAAAAATTTGCATTGATATGAATTCAAATAATCTAATGGAGTTACTAATATATTTTGAAACTGTGGCAGTGAAACAAAAGTATGTAGAATTTGAGGTTCTCAGGTAGTGATTATGAGGAGTTCTGCATTATGGGATATGACACCATATAGTCTGTTGGAAATTAACCAGAGTTTCAGAGGAACATGTCAGCTTCATCTTCAGGGTTGCAGAGTAAGCCAAGCAAGAAACCAGCATGAAACAGGCAGCAAGCAGTTGACATACTCTTCACCCCTTCACATGGAGTCAACATGTTCCTCTGAAACAGACTACACAGTGTTATATCCCAGAAGATAGAACTCTACACTACACTACACTACACTACAATTAAAAATAATATAACCTTGTTGTCTGATGGCACATAATGTGACGTGTCTGGTTTTTGTACAGGCTCTTCACAGTGATATCCTGCACAAGAAACCAGACTTCTTTAAGCTCACAGAGGTAGCTAGTGCACTGATGGCACTTGTTGGTGAGGATGAGGCATCAGGGTTAGCATGCAAGTTACAAGACATGACGGACCGTTACGCTGCCTTGGTGGACGCCTCAGAAAATGTAGGTCAGCTACTCCAGCAATCACGTGCTGGTCTGCGACACCTGGTACTGACATATCAAGATCTGCAGGCCTGGATGGAAGCAATGGAGCACCGACTGGCAAAATATAGAGTCCTTGCTGTACACACTGACAAACTGCTGGAGCAGATGGACGATCTTGCAGTAAGGATCTTTTGCTACAGGCTGTAAACATTTCCAGGAAAGAGAGATCTTTGCTGAAGATAAGAATTAGAAAGTGTTAGAAGTAAGATGTTATATGAGATACAATACAGTACAATAGGAATGTTTCCATAGCAGTTATACATTGCCTAACTTCCCTATTCCTTTTGTTTCCACCTCCAGGTGTTTGCTTTGGGAGGCACTGTGTTTTATTTCTGTTTTACAGTTGTTTGTTCTGCATATTTAATCATCATAATCTTAAAGTATGAATCATAATTGTGACACTTGAACTTTTTGACATATTTTTCCTGACATTTGCCATCTTTATAGTGATATCATGATGTTGATAGTCAATGAATTACCATTGTTTATCTCACTTTGAGCAGCCCCTTGACAGCTTTTGGGTTCTGACCTTGAAACATATTTCTGTCTCACTTTCTCGTCTCCTGTGTGCATGCACACACACACACACACCCATATCAGTTAACCCATTGTATCTTGCTCTTCTGCAGCCTCTTTGGATCAAAGAATGCGTTTACACACACCAAACAAGGTATGAAAATAAGTTAGCACTGCAACAGCAAGGACTTACTTCTCATAAAGGCCGCACCATAGCTCAAGCGGTTAGTCGCTGGCTTCCCACCACAATGGCCCGGCTTAGATCCTGGGTCTGGTCAAGTGGGATCTGGTGGACAGTGGCGCTGGGGCAGGTTTTCTCCGAGTACTTCGGTTTTCCCTGCCAATCTTCATTCCACCAGTTGCTCCACAATCACCCTCACCTATCATCTGGGGCTGGTACAATAGGCCAGAAGTGGCCGCAGTACAAGGGACTTAGTCCCACCCCACTAGCAATAATAATAATAATAATAATAATAATACTTCTGTTAAAGCAGTGACAAGAGTGGGCAGGGTGCCATACAAAGAATTCTGGAAGGGGTTGAAGATCTGGCTTCACTTTCAGGATTTGACAGAGGAGATAGCGAATCATCAGAGCCAAGTGGATGGAACGGTTGATAGTGGCCTCGAGCTTATGAAGCACATCTCAAATGATGAAGCATTACAACTGAAAGACAAGCTAGACTCACTTCAGCGTCGATTTAACGATCTCACAACACGAGGTGCCGATCTCCTGAAACATGCTCAGGTTTGTTTTTATTTTCTACCATACTGTAACGTGTCTTATAATTTGAAATATTCTGTTGCAAACAATAATATACTGTGTATGCAGTATCTGTTGCCTCTTCTTTTAAATCTTAGTAAGAGTCTATATAAAGTAAAGCAACTCCTCTCCTGTAATGCTATATATATCTATTTCCGTTGCTGTATGTATCAATTTGGTATTTTATATTCCTTAATAAGGATTAACCTTAAGGCTCTTTCCAGGAGATGAGAGACCCAAGCCTGAACATGGTAACATTGATAATGTCTGGGCTGGGGCTTCTTTCAGATGATGGCTATCAGACATTTATAGGACATGCTTTATTGGCCCGGTTTTTTTTTTTTTACAAAGATAAAGTTATTTGTAGTTCCCTCATCTTTTGCTCTTGACACACACAGAAAACTAACAAACTGGCTTGAGGAGGTGTTTGCTGCTTGTGCCATGCAAATTGAGCAGTGAGTTAAAATGGGTCTGCATGTGCATGTTTGGTGGGAATTCCTTGTCAGTGCTGCAGAGAATGCAGGGAGGGGAGTAATATGTAAATTCATTTGACTCTTGGGACTGTGTTGCACATGAATCACAGTAGCCAGTGTGGACCATTCTGTTTCTGAATCAGTCTGAACTCATCATACTTACATGAGCTTCAAAGTAAAATGGACAGAAGAAAAGCAGACTGTTAAACATTTAGTTATTTTTGTGATTGTGACAAAGAACTGCATAAGCCTCATTTTGTAGGTTGACCAAATCATCCTGAATGGAGGTTTATGATCAAAATAGGTCACAGCTCTCTAATCCTCAACAATTGTATTGTGTCTTCTTATAAGAGCCACATACATATATGCTGGCCCATAGAAACAAGTCACTTTCCATTGAAATCTTCCAGTTCACTATATATTTATTTATCCAGCTGTTGCACAGATTTAATAAGCTCCCCTGTCAGATACGCTTTATAAACTTTGAAAGGAAGTGATCATCTAGCATGTAACAACTATATAAAGGCAGTTAATCACACCAAGTATCCATCCATATATTGAAATTCTGGTGATATTATTTTCTACATTATATGGTGGATTTAGTATCATTTAAACAAATATATTTTTATTTCTGTGTTCTTTCAACTTCCTGTGCCTGCAGTTTAGTGTCCATGAGGAGTAATAACTTTTGACTTGTACATTATGGTTTTAATATTGCATTGTGATTTTACTTTGCCTTGCAGTAGAGTAGATGGTTCAGGCAATATGTTACAAGCCAGAAGGTCACAGGTTAGGTTCCTGATGAGGCCATTGGATTTTTTCAGTTTACCTAATCCTTCCAGAACACTGTGGCCCTGGAGTCAACTCAGCCTCTGACAGAAATGAGTACCAGGAATCTTCCTGGGGGCAAAGGGAGGCTGGCACATAAGGCTGACAACTTCATTTGCCATCTGTGAGCCTAACGTCTAGAAAATATGGGAACCTCGACGTCTCACAACCCTATAAGCCTTCACAGCCTATTACAAGGATACCTTTACCTTTTACCTTATTTTGTTCTTTATCAGTTGTTGTAATTTACTGATGTGCAGGAAGCATTGCCATTGGTCCAGCAGTTCCACAACTGCCATAACCGTCTAGTTGACTGGATGATGGGAGCTGAAGCCCAGCTGCAATGTGCTGACCCTCATGAAGAAGATATCCAGAGATTGGAACAGGATATCCAAGGTATTTATTTGCAGTATGTCTGTGTGAAATAAGTCATCACTATTGTAGATGATCATTATATATGAATTTTGTTATGGTCTTGCCATCTTATGAAAGTATCTGTCAGGTTTGAAGAGTTCAGTCATCTGGGATATAATGCCACATAGGCCACTGAAAGTCAGGTGACATTCTGGACAAACATACAGCTTCCAGTTTCAGGGCTGAATTTTAAGCAAACAGGAAACCAGCATGGAGCAGTATATATACTTGCAACTGAAAATTGTGTGAAAATCGCGCTAACAGGATGCAACTTTTGAAAGAGTTCCATTTAAGATAATTGTATAAATTAGTGCTTGCTTATCCTTCAAGATCTGGAATGTTTGGAACATGATTGATTGTTAAGTTACTACTTCACCTTGACACATTGCAGAATTCCGGTCAGTTTTGGAGAGCATCAACCTAGTGGGCCCACAGCTGTGCCAGATCTCACCAGGAGAGGGTGCTTCCACTATAGAAGGTCTTGTCACAAGAGACAACCGCAGATTTGATGCTATTGCTGAACAGATTCAGCGCAAAGGAGAACGCATTCAGCTCTCCAAACAAGTAAGCACAGCTGGAATATCATTGTTTGAAATGTATCATTTTGGGGTTTTAATTTTAGTAGCAGTTTCCAGAATTAAATCATCATAATCCATTATGGATTGTTTAGTTAAGATGCAAATGAAGACAGATATGCATGTTAGAGTTACTGGGTGCTTGTAACGTTGTTAAAAGAAAACAGAAGGTTTGAATTTTTCCTTACTGAAAATGAAAGATTTCAGTTGATGTCAGTAAATGAGAATGATCTGGTACTGGACTAATGTGTTTGAGGTTGCCATGTCTTCAGTATATTGATGTATCCCTTAGTTTCTTGGGAACATAAAAGTAATTTTACAGTATTTATTCAAAAATAGTGAAGAACATGATCATTTCAGAAAATTGGGGATATTGGTTGTGTGATTATTTGGAAGGTAGAATGTTAAGGGTAACAATGGAAATTTCATTTTGCAAATAGAAGCAATGAGCAGTGATATGTCTATATTCTGTTAGTAAAACAATTTACAGAATTTAATTATAAATACAAAGTATGACAATGTATAATTGAAATAAAGGCAGTATACAATATATATGGCTGAATTTAAATAGGCAGTTGAGCAATTTAACAATGTGCTAGTTCAGTAAAATAATTCAGTGTTTGTATAAATATTGTCACATGTAAGGGGAGTGCGCCTACTGAAAATAATTGTGGGTTCTGGATTTATTAACACCTTCCTTGCAATAACTCTGTAAGTATAGGCAGTGCAGTGCTACCACTGATTTACTCACTTCACGAATCACTATGACATGGTATCCGTTTCCTGGCAATGGATTTATAACACAGAAACAGTCACTTCAAATTACTATGAAGTCTTCTTGTCATTTTGTCTTCAGTCATTGTGTCCTCCTCGGTCCTAATCTCTACCCAACTGCTCCTAGCTTCTACTTCGCATTAATCGTACAGTTCACAGCTCTTGTTATATAACTGCAGCACAGACCACATAGAAAACCTCTTCTGTTCAGAATAGTTGCATAACTTAGCAGCTAGTCAGAGCACATATCTTGTGACAGTGGATACCCTATTGTTCTCACATTCTCAAGAGGGAAGGTTTTAATCAGCCGTTGCATAGAAACGGCAGTTCTTCTCTTGTTGACTGTATTCTTTGCCGCAAGAATGTTTATGGAGTCATTGCCTAGCAACGATGACATTTCTCTCTTGGTATAGAAATGGCCCCTATGTCACAATATCCCCAATACCCACATGAAATTCCATGTTGATTAACATCCCTGCAAAAAAAAATACATGTAAGGGTGAAATTAATCATGTCTCAAGTGAATTGCATGACTTACAAATGTGAGCAACAGTGAAGCCTTTTCTTACACAACATTAAGACCTGTTTAGTGTTTCATATTATATGGTAGCATCATTCACTGTCGAGTAATGTGTACAGCAGATCTGTTGCTCTTACAGTAGTGCCATAAATTACTTGTTAGTTGTCAGCATGCTGTCAGATTCCATTTGTTCATTATCTCCATAAAACTGGTGCAAAGATTTCTAATGCTATGATATTAACACAGACTTTCATGTAGGTGTATTGTATAATGTTTAGTAAGTTTGCTATTTGGGGCACACAGTAGCACAGTTGGTTAAGGTACTATGCTACAATCCAGAAGGCTGTAAGTTCGATTCTAGATGAGGTCATTGGATTTTTTCAATTGACCTAATCCTTCCAGCCACACTATGGCCCTGGGGTTGACTCAGCGTCTAACAGAAATGAATACCAGGAATCTTCCTGGGGCTAAAGGGCAGCTGGCACATAAGGTTGATAACGTTACTGCCATCTGTGAACCAGTTGTCTAGAAAATGTGGAAGCCTTGACATTTCACAACCCTAGGGGCCTTAACAGCCTGTTACAAGGATAACTTTACCTTATAAGTATACTGTTTTTGCTTTTATATTCTAGTGTAGCTAGTATCAAGCAAATGGGTGGATGGGCCCTTAGCTATCGATATCCATGGCTTAAACACTGAAGCCATTATTCTGTGGTTTCAGTCTATAATAATGGACTACTTTTGTTTGGATTGAGAATGATTTCTTGCTATTACTGCAGATTTTTAGAAAAAATGAATATAGCAGAATTTTTTTGTGAAACGAAATATTCAGTTGGTATTTTCATTTCGGTGAAAGAAAGTGATTTATTATGTGTGTTAATGAGTGGTTCTATAAATCAACTATGGCATTGCTTGTACTGAGGTCTTTTGTTAGTCTTCCAGTTTGCTTGTTACTGTCATTGAATTTCATTATTATTTGTATCTTTGTCATGTATAGTAATAATTTACTATCTCTACTAGCGTTCACTGGAGGTTATTGGAGACATTGATGAGCTCCTCGACTGGTTCCGTGAAGTGGAAGGTCAGATCCGTGATGCAGAACCTCCCAGCTCTGACCCAGGTGTCATTAGAGTCCAACTGAAGGAACACAAGGCATTGAATGATGATATCTCCAGCCAGAAGGGTCGTGTCCGAGATGTTCTGTCTTCTGCAAAGAAGGTACAATGTTATTTTTTTATTGCCCACAGAACTTTTTTGTGACAACAAATTGCTTCAGATATGTGCGATATAAGCTGAATATTCAGTACTTGTTACTACAGATGAAATGCTATAATGAACTATAGATCTACTCATAAAAATAACTAAATGGATAAGAATAAAAGACATGCATAAATAAAAATTGAAAATAAAATGGAATTCCCCAAGAAACTGCTGTGAAGTCAGACCGATTTCTTGCCACATTGTTACTAAACTGTCACATTAATGTCAGGAAGGCAATTGATCCCAGAGAAGCAATTAACAAAGACAGGAATTTCTTCTTTGAGAATCAAGCCACTTCAGCCTAGAGGTACACACATATGTGCCTATGCACACATACACATGCATGTCATTTTGTAATGACACTATATGCTTATCTTCATTGGTACTTGACCTGGAAGTTGAATTGGGACCTGGCTGAAGAGAAATGATCTCCCATAGCTGCTATGATATGGGTCATGTTGACAATATTTTTTTCTTTTATTTTTATTTATTGCTAGTTGGGTGGGATTAAGTCCCTTGTACTACGGCCAGTTCTGGCCTATTGTACCAGATGATAGGTGAGGGTGATTGTGGAGCAATTGGTGGAATGAAGATTGGCAGGGTAAACCAAAGTATGCAGAGAGAACCTGCCCCAGCGCCACTTTGTCCACCACAAATCGCGCTTGACCAGACCCAGGATCGAAGCCAGGCTGCCATGGTGGGAAGCCAACTAACCGCTTGAGCTATGGCATGGCCCATGTTGGCACTAAGTGGAGCTTCTTTACAGCACTGTTGGATTTCATATATTGTGGCATGCTGTGTGTATTGCTTCTGTTTTATTCTTGTAACTGACAGATATTTAATATTAAATGTTCAAATTTGACTTCGTTAGGAAGAGTAGTTTGGACATGTTCTGTTCATTGATAATGAACTTTGTGGTTTAGTAGTTAACATTCCTGCTTCATATTTTGAATGTTGTGGACTGTAATCTTGACTTTGAGATAAGCTATTATGATTTTTTTGTATTTTTACTTATATCCACCAAGTAAATTATAGGTTAGTACCTTAAAATGGTCCACGATACTTACATCCTGAATTTATTTTTCATCCTGCAAAACCTAAGCAGAGGACATAACTTGGTAAAGTAAACTAAGAGGCTGTATTCCTTGCTTCTTTCTAAATAGACACCGTACTTTTATTTCCACTGTTTATTGTGTTAGGTGCTGCGTGAATCTGCCCAACATGAAGATACGACCACTATTCGTGAAAAGATGGAGGATCTTCGTGAGACTATGGACACGGTGTCTGGTTTGAGTTCTGACCGTCTGGGTGTGCTGGAACAGGCCCTCCCTCTAGCAGAGCATTTCCATGAAACTCACACTGGACTGGTCAGTTGGCTGGATGAAATGGAGCAGCAGGTGGCCATGTTGGCAATGCCAGCTCTACGGCCAGATCTCATCACACAGCAGCAAGACAGGAATGAGGTGAATATGAGGACTATCAGGTGGCACTTGGTGGTGTAGTAATTTGAGCCACTGTGCTTCAAGCTGGAAGGTCACAGGTTCGATTCCCGATGAGATCATGGGATTTTTTCAATTTACCTGAACCTTCCAGCCACACTTTGGCCCTGGAGTTGACTCAGCCTCTAACAGAAATGAGTACCTGGAATATTCTTTGTGGGTAAAGGCAGTCAGGGTGTAAGGCTGACAGCCTTACTGCCATCTGTGAGCCAATTGTCTGGAAATGTGGGAACCTTGACTTCTTGCAGTCAGCTGGGCCTTCACAGCCTATTACAGGGATAGCTTTACCTTTTTTACCTGAGGCCTATCAGGCCCTCATCTTGTATACCTCAGAGCTGCAGGCGCTTTCTTCCAGCTGTAATCTGTGTGGCTGTGATTGTTTATTTACGTATTTCCTGTCTCAGAAACCTATTTTGTATTAGTCTAACCAACTGACAAGTGAGAACACAGATTAATGTACCACTTGAAAAGGATGTGAAGACATTGAAATGTCTAATGTGTGAACTTGTGTTATCAGTTATTGTCAATAGTACAAGTGCCTATAAAATTATAAGACAACATGGAAAAATGGTATTATAAATCCTTCATTGCCAACGCATGCAGAGCCAGGAAAGTTAAACAGAGTATAACTGAAGGCATTAGCCACAGTAGCCTTGTTCCATAACCTCTACATGCTGAACTTGAGATAAAGTTTAAAAGGTTCTCTCAGCATTGGTTATGAAGGTTGAACATCATGTAGTCTGGCAAGTGTGCACCATCATTCCTACAAAACACATACCGGACTGCATGGTGTCATGTCCCAGAAGACATTGATCTTTAGTAAAAAGGAAAGTGGCTTATCTGTGTTTTCACTGTGGAGATGTAACTGCATTTATTTATTTCCATAGTTCTGGTAGGTAACATAAATGGTTTTGAATAGCTGTCTCATTTCATGGTGCTGGTTGTACCTTGAAAGTTTTTGGTTACTTTTCTGGTCAAGAGGTTCCTGATTTATGGAACCCACAAGTTCAGTAACATGTACACAGGAACCTGCTGTTGGACCCTGACCTAACCCAATTCAATCCATTTTAATATGGGACTCCACTAAATAATTGGAAAGAAATTAATTTCTTTTGTTTCTTTGAAATGTTAATAACTTCTCAGCACTTCTAGTTCATTATTCTTTATAAGTATATATGTGTTTTTTGCTTCTTCTGGTCTGTATAGAGAACTACACCACGTTTAAAACATGTCACCTTAAGACTGACACATCTTTGTTTCAGATGTTTGTGCAGTCAATCTCTGAGCACAAGCCATTGGTAGAGAAGTTGAACAAGACTGGGGAGGCCCTGATTCGTCTGTGTAATGATGAAGAAGGAGCAAAGGTTCAGGATATCTTAGATGGAGACAATGCTCGCTATGCAGCCCTCAGAAGTGAACTTCGACAACGTCAGCAAGCACTGGAACAAGCATTGCAGGTATGTTCAATTCAGGCTGACTGAAGAATTGCACTGTCTTAAGACATATTCTTGATTTGTTATACATTAGAGTAGGCAAGTTGAAAACAGGGCCTGAATTTTTTATTTGTTGGAATGAATCATGCTTAATCAGAGGCTGAATTTTTTGTGTTGGAATAGGTGTAATTGAAACAAGGCCTTAATTTGTTACATGTTTGAGGCACACATTCTGATAAAGCAATGTCACAGTGCTACAATTAAACGAAACAACGTCAGAACCAGCAGTTAGTTGTAAGAGTATTAATATCCCAGAGCTTAATATATAATGTTTGAGTTCTTAAATCTCTTGTGTAAATGTATGTTTGTGAAACATGCTGTAGAGTTGTGAGTCAGTGGAGTTTGTTGAATGGTGGTTAATATTAAGTTGCATTTCTGGAGCCCTTTGAATGGTGAAAGATTTTACTTCACTGTGCTGCCATAAACTGATAATACTAAACAGATCTTGCAACAATGTGTGCAGGAGTCCAGTCAGTTCTCTGACAAACTGGAAGGCATGCTGCGTGCTTTGGGCTCAACGGCTGACCAAGTCAACTCTGCTGAACCTGTGTCTGCTCATCCACCCCGTATCCGTGACCAGATGGATGAGAATGCAGCCTTAGTGGAAGATTTGGACAAGCGAGAGGAAGCCTTCGCAGCAGTTAAAAGAGCAGCTGATGATGTTATCAGCAAGGCTGGCAACCGGGCTGATGCAGCTGTCAAAGGTGGGCATCTGAAACAAAATAGGGCAGCTCTGGTGTGATATTTGAAGGTTCATCTCTGCCATCTAGAAAACCTTCCATTTGATTTCCTGCAGACTTAGTTCAGTACATTTTACATCTGAGTCATCTAGCTTTTGTTTCATGAGGCTTTCCAGTCCAGGTTTTCCATACTTTGGATTAGTAATTGATTCATTACATCACATTGTGCTTTGATTATCCTGAATAACATCATCTGTGCGCATTAACATAAATAAGCAAATACAGTAAAACTTGGTTATAGCAACATCGGTTTCTGCGACACTTTGTCTATTGCGTCAAATATTCAATGGTACGAACTAATTCCTCATAAAGCAACTGTTTTTATACCTTGCTTAGTACGACATGCACAAATGCATCAACCTCGTATGTAATGTCATTTTCATTCCTGAATTTCTCTGAGATGAACATTGAACGTAATTTAGAAAGTGTGTACTGGGCAAGTAACAGGAAACAGATGAAGATAACTGATTACTGTACTCGTATCTAGGTACAGTAAGGCACAACAATTGATGTAATCTACTGTAATTTGGTGAGTAGGCCTACCTTTAATATACAGTGTTAGTGCGGTGTGTATTGTCAGTGAAAAGCGCTGTAATATGTCTTTGATATTACACATTTGGGCAATTCCACGTTAATGTTACGTTAGTCTGTGCTTAACTACGTATTTCACTAAAAAATGCAACATTTTAACTCGGTTTTTGGTAGATTTTTTTACGTGACTAACATAAGGCTACTGTGGAAGTGCCCATTTCGGTTACAACGGTATTTGTTTATAACGACACTATTTTTAGGTCCCTTTGATGATGTTATAACCAAGTTCTACTGTATATGATAAAATGCTGCATTTTCTCAGATACCATTCCCACTTATTTCTATGAAGTAATGACAACAATTTTTGTATGCAGCTTGGAAAAGGTGTGCAGTTCATTCACAATACGATTGGCAACAGTGCACTGTTTATAACAAGGCTGGCAATCATGCACAGCTTGTTCATCGCATTGTTAGCAGCACTGCTAATCTTAGCAGTCCACATGTTATTTGGTCAACAACAACAGCCGTCTTATTTTGTATAACTGGCTACATGTCTCAGCACAGTATTATTCTACACTTCATTCTCTGGGCGAGAATTGCTACATAAAGTCTGCATCTCCACATTCAGTACACTGTGACCAACACCCAGGATAAAAAAAGATGATGAAGACAAATCAGTACTACAGTAACATAAAAATGAATTTGTACAAGACTGAATTCTAATTTTAAAAGTTTAAATTGAAAACATTTTAATATCAGGCAAAGTGTATAACAAACTGTATGTTATGTGAAGAAAGCAGTCTTCTGGGATGTGGCACCATGTAGATGTGGTGTTAACCGACGTTTCGGAGGAACGTCTCGCCTCCATCTTCAGGGTAGAAGGAAAAATAAGAAATGCGCGAGCGAAGAGACCATGAGAACCGGTACAAGCAGACTGGTCTGAAGATGGAGGTGATATGTTCCTCCTATACATCAGTTAACACCACATCTACATCGTGCCACATCCCAGAAGACTGCTTTCTTCATAGTCGCCACCATGAAAACCTCACATCTTACATGTATGTTATGTGTTTTGTGTAGATGTGCCCACCCCTTTAAGGACAACATAGAGACACTATCCAAACATATGTAATGATTTGATGATGACACTCTTGTGTTCTATAGCATGTTACCAGTTAAACAGAATAGGAGGGTTGTTGTTGACAAAAGTAACCTCTGGATTTCTAGAGTGACTGAGAGCTTGATGATCTGCTACCATTGGAATTAACATTCCTCTCTCCATGTGCCGTCAAAACTTTTAACACTTCTCTTCTATTTGCTTACTGACATGCAGCCACAACTCACAGTGTAAGAGTGAGTATTAATCTGTGATGTGGTATGCACATTTTCTGTTGAACATCAGTACTAAAAGTATGTGCTTACAGTGTTCATGAAAGGTGGACTGAAAATAATTCAAGAGGCAGAATAAATCAGAAATTGTGATGCTGGAAGAAAATATGATGTTTTGTGTAATAAAAGAAAAGCTTTGCAGATGCATAAACTACAGGAAGCAGGCGATGTGGTATCAACTGGGGATGATTGGCCATTTATGTTTTTTTTCTTTCATTCTTTTTATTTTTGCAAGGAACTGTTTGTGTATTAGATAAAGCAGCGGTAGGACATCAGATCATAGAAAATAAGTGAAGAGGTGTACAGGAAATTCCATGCTGCAACTGGGAATTGAACTTAACAGTCATTTCGCTGACTGAGCTATCCCAGCTTGTAAACATATGTAGTTAACATAGTAAAAAATATGTCTGGTTCATATAATGATGATGATGATGATAATAAAAATAAAAATAAGTTGTTTGGTTGTAGACATCAAGCGCAAACTTGACCGACTCAACAGCCTGTGGAATGAAGTTCAGAAAGCTACAAATGATCGAGGAAAGTCCCTGGAAGAAGCCCTGGTGGTGGCAGAGAGATTCTGGGATGAGTTACACAATGTCATGGCAACGCTACGGGAACTACAAGACTCACTGAGCTCACAAGAACCTCCTGCAGTTGAGCCAGCTGCTATCCAACAGCAGCAAGTCGCCTTGCAGGAGATTCGTCATGAAATTGATCAGGTAGATATCAGATACTTTGCTTGCTTTGAAGTCCTCATTAGCAGCTTCAGTTTATCTTATAGTCACGTAACATCCCTTTTCTTCCTTTTGGCAGTAATTAAAAATTAACTTTGTGCTCCAGTTTTCTTCTGTTCTTTCAGCACATTCTTGTCATTTATTTCTGTTTCTGAAGTTTGTATGTGATATTAATTTGTAATTATGCTGTAAGATCTTCGCTCCCCTTATGCCCTTGGGGTGTTATTTCTTCTGTCAAGCTCTATAAATTCATTCCAGTAGCTTCAGTTATTGTGTACAGAGAACCCCCCTCCAATTTAAAGTTTCATTTTGGAGCAGTGGATTTGCACACTAAAGTAACAGTCTTAAATGAAGTAATTTACCACTGAGATAATTTCCTTTGGATCACTGAACTTGAACACTAAATAAGGTGAAACCCTTACATCAGTGATCATTATGTGGAGGATCTGGTATATTTAACAAATGACTGCTGCTGATTTACAGACCAAACCAGAAGTTGATCAGTGCCGTCAGACTGGTCAGGAGTTGATGAATTTGTGTGGTGAGCCAGATAAACCTGAAGTGAAGAAACATATTGAAGACTTGGATTCAGCATGGGACAACATAACAGCACTCTATGCAAAGAGGGAGGAGAATCTCATTGATGCAATGGAGAAGGCAATGGAATTCCATGAAACCTTGCAGGTAATCAAGATCCTTTTTTCATATAAGAAATGCATGTTTAGGTTTGAAAAATTTCACCATAGCAGTGGGCTGCACCATAGCTCAAGCTGTTAGTCGCTGGCTTCCTACTACGGTGGCCCAGGCTCGATCCCAGGTCTGGTCAAGTGGGATTTGTCTTGGACAAAGTGGCGCTGGGGCGAGTTTTCCCCAAATACTTCAGTTTACCCTGCCAGTCTTCATTCCAACAAATTCTCCATCATCATAATCACCCAGGGCAGGCTACAATAGGCCCATCAGTGGCCGCTGTGCTGAGTGGACCCAGTTGGACTCCAACCCCCACTAAGCAAATTTCACCATAGCCGTGTCTTTTGGTGTTAACAGACTTTGAACTCTCCAGTAGTCACTGGAGAGAGAACAAACATGAGCATGCATGAATGTGTGTGGTTGCATGCATGCGTTCATCAGATAGTGGTGTTGTTCACATCATCATCAGAAAGTTAACAAGATTCTATTTTCAATGTACAGTGGAACTAAAATCACCATACCAGAGATGTTATTTGGCATGCAGGGCTTCTCTTCTGTTTGTACACCTGCTCTGAGTATGACATACCCTCAGAGATGTTTTACACAAAGCAGTATGAGAATGGGCATGTGTATAACATTACAATTTCTTTATTCAGTCCATGTCTTAAGTATAGCTTTAAGCTTTCTGCCTCAAACGTTTTACTTAAGTTTGTCCAATGAACTGTGAACTAGTATTCACATTACTTACTCCAGATCATATACATTTCATGAGAGAAATGCAGAAGTTCTATCTTCACGTATGTTTCATATTTTGGCAGCCATGGTTTCAGAAACTGCGAACAGTTTATCAGTAAATTTTAGTAAAAGCTTTGGAAATGTGCTTTAACAAGAGTTACATGTTTTGATGTGTGTATACAAGAGTGATCTTACTGGGTGGTTTTCTGGAGATCTGAGAATTTAGCTCACTAGAATAACCTTTTGAAACAATTGCACATTTAGCTGCTTACATGTCCCTAATGTCTGCTGTTTGCAGAATCTGTTAGAGTTCCTGGATGGTGCAGAAGACAGGTTTGCAGCTATGGGAGCCTTGGGCTCTGACATTGATGCAGTGAAGAGGCAGATTGAGCAACTCAAAGACTTTAAGGCTGAAGTTGACCCTCATATGGTGAAGGTGGAGGCACTCAACAGGTGAGCAGACACTCTTGTATTGCAAGTACATAACTTTGTTGAGGTTTGGAGTAGAGTGCAAAGTCGCTTTAACCCTTTCCAGTCGTATGTCGATATGTAATCAGCATGGTGGTGGTGCTTCCACGAATGAATATCGATATATGATCAACAGTGTTTCTTTCGTGTTTCTCCAGTCATATTTCGATAATATATCGCTAGTTGGCATTGTATACTATTTGTATACTATACCAGAATATACATGAATGTTTTATCTGCTTCCTTCTGCCATCTGGAAGCCATGATTTGAACTTGAGGAAAGAATTCCATTTATATATTACTTTGTATCAGTGTTAGCAACATGGCTTTGCATTCAGGTACATGTGTGCCTTGTGACATGAAAAAAGACTGAAATATAATGCTGTGTGTGTTGAGAATTAAGAATCAAGTATTGCTTTGTTAAGTGAAGAACTCGATGATCAGATGGATTTGGAAAATGTAGAAGAAACTGTGAGCAAAGAAGCAAGTGATGAGATGTCGGAAAGTGGGAGCAAGAGTGAAACAGGTGTCCTGCGTGTTGATGGTTGGGAAGACGTGACAGTCTTTGTGCCATAGCGATGCATCTTTGGTGCAGCACACTTTCTCATCTGTTATATGGCACCAGAGTCATGCCACAGATCACATGATGGGTGCAATATATGGTCTACCCATTCATTCTTCTTGCTCTGATTGTACGCTTGCTGCCGGTGGCAGAAATTTTTCCCTGCCATTGTTTTTCATATATAGGAACAGTATGTGTAAAATATGAGATTTAAATTTGGTGAAATGTGGTATAGTTCACTGTCGTTCATGTGTGAACTGTAAGGGATAATATTCTGAGAGTATTTACATGTAAAATACCTAAACAGTCTCTGAAATTTTATTTTTGAATGATACTTTTCAATTTTGAAAATTATCATGGTGTTTGGTCTGGAGAAACTACAATAGAAGGTGAGATAATCAATACGGATCTGTATATACCTGTTCCTTCTTGTAAAAACTGAAACATTACACTCTTCTCCTTCATACTTGTCAGAATTCTGTAGGGGATATTCTTGTATTTAGGAATAAAGCCTGTGCATATGTGCATTATTTTTAATGGACATTTTCCACTAGATCAATGATGTTCCTTGAACTGCAGCCTAAAATAATGACAATTTCTCTTTTCTTGTGCCGTCAAACTCCCTGAACGATGATGTATCCAGGGCTCTTCGAAGGCAAGTTACTCAGTTGGTTCAGTGTGTTGCATGATATTCATTCAGCATGTTTTTCCCATTGGTGCTTATGTTTACTTCTCATATTGTTGTGAAAGAAACAGATGATTAAAGGGAGAGTTTGATTAGTTTGTAGATTATATAACTGTGCTAAATTAATTGCAAGGGCGATTTAGTATCGCATGAGATGAGAAAATTAATTTTTGTGTGTGCATGCATTGTAGGGAGGCTTAATGATTGGGGAGGAAACAGTCATGTCAGAAATGCATCTGCTTAAGGGAATCCATAAAACATTTAGCCAGAACAGCTGGTTCCCTGTCTGAGACATGACTGTAGGTTCTTCCAGAATATGTTTACGGCGTGTCCTAGCACTAAACCATCCAAAAAAAATCCCAAGGGACTAAAATATGTACACAGTGAAGTATGCAAGTTTTGGGTCTTGTGTTTTGTTGTGTATCAGTGTTATTATGTGAATTAACACTTCAAATTGTTGCTTTTTTTCACATGCCTGGTTAATCCTTTGTGTTGACAGAAATATATGAGTTTTCAGTCACACATGTCCCCCACTTTTTACAAAATGAATGACTTGTTTGAACATGTATTTGCTATCTTGCGACCCTCAGATACAGTCTCATGATTATCCAGGGTGGATGGGAAATGAATTTCTGCAGATAATTGGACACCCCAGATAATCAATAAAAGGAATATATAAGTAGCTTGGGAGCTGAACTTTATAAAACTCTTTAATAAAAAGATTAAAAAGAAAATCCAAACAAAACAGTCTTCTCAAGTTTCCAAGTACATATTCAGATGCCAGTCAACTTTCTAAACTAAGCCCCTGGAAAATCTGCATTTCAGATCTTCCTCCTCCTCCTTTTCCACTTTTAATCTTATATTCCCCTTTTGTGAAACTTGCTGTTGATTGCTGAATAACCTGATAAACATACTGATGTTAATGAAGTTTGCCATTGTCAGTCTTTAATTTGATGTTTATTTAAGTTTTCACATTAGCTTTTATAGAATCCATGTGGTACTCATAAGCAAGATATTTTTATTACGCTGAATATTTAAAGATTCTGAACACTGCTGATGTCTGTCATGATTTTACAACCAGAGTTTATTGACCCTTTTTATTCTCATAATATAGCAGAACATAATGAAACAAGGAAGATCCTGAAGGGTTCTGTTTCTTGGGATATAGCACCATTAAGTCCAGTGAAAGTCATCTGATAGTTTGGAGGAATATACTGCCTCCATCTTCAGGGTTAGAGAGTAAGGCAGGCAAAAAACCAGCATGAATCAGGCAACAGGGTTGTTGTCACCTTCATGCTGGTTTCTTGCTCAGCTTGTGCCCATAAGGACTGGAGAAGAAGGCAGAAGTGAAGGGTTACAGGAAGAATTAGCAGTATCTTACACACAAACGGAAGCAGTGTTCTGTTTGATGTAAAAGCATTTGCTTGTCAGATATGGTACTGTAGACAATTCTGCTGCTAGTTTATTTATTTATTCCATTGTAAAATTCCGTGGATCCATTCTAGGCTACAGATACGCCTGAAGGATATAGAACCAGTCACAGACAAGTAACTAAAATACACATGCTATGAAAATAAGCATAGGTCAGATCAAACAATAAACGAAACTGTTTATCTTCCTACTTTAACATTAAACATAACATCTTAAATTTAATATTGTAAAAAATCATCATACCAAAAGGTAGATGATAACATATTTATGCCAAAATAAAGCACCTATGATACATAAAACCTTAAAAATTCACATTAAAATTAGTAATTACTATTAAAAAAATCCTTCAGTAAATAAAAAGAATTCAGTAGAAGGTAATTTTTAGAGTATTTTTAAATTGATTCTTATCATGAGTCAATTTTTTTATGCAAGGATGTAAGTGAATAAATGCCTTTATACCTATATAATAAACACCATTTTTATAGATACACTTCCTTGGTTGTGAAGGGTAAAACCTATTTTTACCTCTGGTGTTGATATCATATAACTCTGAATTTGTTTTAAATAAGGAGATATTATCAATTACAAAAATTAGTAATGAAAATATAAACTGAGAATAAAACAGTAATATATCTAGTTTCTTAAACAACTCCCTACAGAAAAAGAAAAAGTAGCATGTATGTCACCTGTTGCAAGTGAGCATGTTACCATATAAAGCATTGTGTGGTGGATATTCCATAAAGGACCACAAAATTCAATATCAGGTATTACTTAATGTTAAAATCTTATAGCGAATCGAAATTATCATTCATATTGTCGCGTATCGGGCATATATCGCGACAAATAACTTCACGCCATATTTTGTATAGCGAATTTTATTTCACGTTCGCACTTAACAATCACCCAAATTACAGATTTACGATTACTGATATCTGCAGTATCACAATTAGTACACTCCAAATGCCAGAATACAACTGACTAGTTGCTGGCTAACTCGGC